TGAAGAGTTTTGCAAAATTAGCCAATAGTTACAAAAAATGTGCTTAAGCAATCAGAAAAAACTGTAATCAAATATTGCCTTCCTCCCTCACTACCATCACTGCCCTCTGCTCCAATCCAAGCAAGGCTCATTTGAGCAGCTTTTAGAACGGCTGGGAAATTGTCAAACATGTTGGCTGGTGCAAATTTCCTCAGTGTCAACAAGGAGTGAGGTAATAAACACGCAGCGCAGTTGTTGTCATAAAAGGCTCATTTCCATGGTGGCTATTCCCTACCAAGCTTTACCACTTCAGTGCCTCACTACTGAGTGGGGTCAGGTGCAAAGGGTGGCACCTACAGCAGGAGAGAAAGAGGGCAAACCAAACTGCGATTTAACAGAAGATTTAGTGTCATTGTGTTCGTGTTTTTGATTGAAAGCGGGTGGGACAAAAGCTGGAAATGAAACATAACAGCCTTCATATTGATAATTCACCTCTGCTGTTGTGAAAGTTTTTACTGCTGGAACTGTGCCTGTGCTTTTTCTCAGAAGCAGTCGGTGCTTTGACTAATCATTAATCAGTACCATACGGGCTGTTGATGTGTTACTGTTGATATGAGTTCCTTTTTAACCAAGTTTATGCTAAATGATTGACATCTAGTTAGATAAGAAACTTTTTAATCCTATTAATATCAAATCTGTAAGATATTGTAAAAATAAAGACGGAAAGAGGGAGCGGGTTAATGCGTGATCTAAAACATTTTTTTTAAAACACAACCTTAAAAAGCAAAGTGCACTGAGGGTATAATTACGGCACTGAAGGTTACCAATTTATGAAATGGATGAGCAGAGAATAAAACAGTAAAGCAGACTAAAAATTACATTAAATGTGAGAAAGACACTTTAAAGTGTGGAATAAAAACTCAGGCAGGTATTTTAATTTTAAAAAAAAAGTCAAAAAGTCAAGAGATGCAGGCGCGACCTCGACCAGAACTGTTTGACTTCCATGGAGTTGGCATGATCAATCAGTTTACAAAAAACTGGGACAACATACAGAACTTCAAAGCAAGACCAGATGATATTCTTATTGCTACTTACACTAAAGCAGGTAAGGTTAATTTAACCTTAGTAGACAGAATTGTGCCAGCCTGGGGTAAACATCAGAAAGTGAAGACATGTGAAAGTAAACTGATTCAAACTCAAATCAAAGCCTTGGAAGTTATTTTAGATTCTCTTTATCTCTGTATGTGTTTTATTGGCTTTAAAAATTGTTTTTATCTCATCAAGTTAAACCCTTTGAGCTGAATGTT